CTAAAATTTTGCTAAGCGAACACCCTTACTTCAAATGTCTTTATTCTCTTTTTTTTTTTGGATCATAAGTTAATTATGTATTTGATTTATCCTGCTTTTTATCATGTTTTTAGAATAATTAAATGGTTTCATTCTTCTTTTTCCCCGATAAAATAGCATCTATATGCAGTTTTGTTTTGCTGCTAAATATGTGACGTCATCATGTGACGTAATGACTGGAGATAGAAAAGTTTATCCGGCAAGGCTTTATCCAGCTGATGATATAGACAGTAGCAGGATAAACAGGAAAATGAGTGACAATCATACCCGTGAAATAAAATAAAGATATGACTATTTTCTTAATAACAACCGGAATTTATGTTTCATTAACAAAATTTTATAAGACACTAATGATACAATATTATACTTATTATTTGCATCTCGTCGTGCTAGTATAATAAGGTCCTAAGTGCCATTATGTAACATTGCGGGAAATCGAGCTTTAAAATTTAGTTAACAGAAAAATGTTACTGGACCGTGTAATGATGGAGATTTTTTGAATGAATCATTAATATGTTCTATCATAACTTGCAAACAAAGATTTTACACGATATCTTTAGAGATATTTTCTAAAACCGGATTTTTCATTTTGAGATAGAGCTTTTTGCTTATTTGTACTTGCCGGAAGCTTAGAATTATGTTGCACCCAGAGATAGAGCGTTTTAAAACTGCCCAGGATAGTATGAACTAGGATATAGGATATTTTAAAACTAATAAATATGTTCAATTTTAATGAAAACAAATAGGATTATTATGGTATTTGTATAAACAAACTTAAAATTTTGATAAATAATTGTTTTTTTATCTTTCAGATACACATTTTGATATAACTTGTGACAAAGAAATAAATTTGAATAAATTATTTCACCTGTTGGCATCAGTAACATACAGGTTTTGTAATAGATCGCAATAAACTACTTGTACTTTACCTGCAATGTGATTTTTTACAAAACTGAAACAAAAGATTTCAACACAATCACTTTAAATATCTATCATATAACTATAAGGCAATAGTTTTTCCAACCTAAAAAAATTCTGCAATGTTAACGAACAAAAACACTTTATTCACTTAGTTACAGACAAAAACTGAATATAAAATCAACTCTCTGATAAAATGGAAATTTTAACATGTTTATCTGTTACTTTGTCTTGAATTAATTCTTTATTTTATCTCTCTCTCTTAAAAAGACCAAAATGTTAAAAAATGCCCTCGATAGATTTACAATAAAAATGCAACAACTCCTGTCACAATTAAATAGGCAGCACATACTACAAAAACATAGTTATAGATTGGAGGATTTGCAAAACTTCTTTCACCAGAAAAAAAAAACTTTACTCATTTTGAAAACTATGAAAGGAACAGTCAATGTAAGCATTTGCAATAAGTTCTTTAAACTATATGTGCTCTTCCTTTTCTGTTAATAAGAGTGAAAATAAAACAAAGTTTGAAAGGAACTTGATTGTTCACCTGATAACATTTGCATGAGAAAAAAATTATACTAGTAATTGACAGTAGTTGATGGCAGGAAAATCGAAGTCGTTTAAGTTTCTGCAATGTGAGACATTAAGTTTTATTCTAGATGTGACAATTATAAAAGTGGACTGTCTGAAATATCTAACCAATATGTTGATATACAGTGACTGAGCGAACTAAAATCATTGGTAAAGTTTAAATGTTGAACAAGATGAATATTCACGGAATTAAAAATAGTTTAAGATCACGAGCATGTTGGAAAATATTGTGGATGCCTTTATCGTTTAAGCTAAATGGAAAAGAAAATTCAAAATTTCTCATAAAAGGCAAAAACATTTAATGCGCGGTTGTGGAGTCTAACATGTTAGTGAAACACTGTCAAGTAAAAATTCTAATGGAAGAAATCACAAATAAACACTAGTATATGTTCTGGCATCTGCATTCAATGAAACACACTCTAATCTCTGAAACAATTAAAGTATCTTATGCTACAACAACAGTTGGTTATATAGACGACAGAATATCAAAACAAGAAACAACAACTATAACCGAAATTCAATCATCCGAATATATCCATAGTTCAAAAGTTATATTTTATAAAATTTATAACGACTTTTTTCACGATACCTTATTAATTTTTTTTTGATAACTCAAATAGATGATTAAAAATGTTTCAGAATAAGTACATTAGCCTTAAACAACACTGCCTTCTATTTATTGCCATGTTTTTGAAAATATTAAAACAAAATAAAAATTTTCTCTTTAGAATTACAATACCCTATCTCCAGGAGTAGTGTTTATAACCATTTATATTTTAAAGGCGGTAACCATATATAATGGCATTATCTCTTTTAAAAGAATTAAAGGTTTTGCTTTGACTTACTGGTAATATTTCCTAGCAATTTATCAAATATGATACTAAAAAACTAACTTACTTCTGGCAGCCAGTTTAAGCAATGGTGTCAATGCTTTTTGACAAAGCAAAATCTGTCACATGACCTCGCACACAATCACTGATTGGCTCATGGACATAGGGCAACATAATAATTAATTCAACTATTATTTTCGAAAATGGAAAATGATATACATGCTATTATATCAAGCAGGGTAACCTCATACATAAATGGAAACCACCTGGAGATAGATCTTTTAATTCTGAATCCAGTGGTATATCATACTCAATTTTCATGAAAATGGAGATAGGACCTTATAATACTAGCACGACGATCTGGTAATTGTTTCTTTACTAAACAAAACAAGTTTGTTTTTTATTGTGATTTGTTTTTACTATTTATAAGATCTTCAAATTTTAATGCATTAGGATACCTATAATAACACGGTTTAATAATTGTATGTCTACTATTAACAAAATGTGAAAGAGATAGTGAAATTCGTCATCCATTTGGTTTCACATAAAGTACATGTAAACGTAAGTTTCTCTCTATATTTAAGAATTGGCATTTTTTTATTTATACATCTAAATTTTAACACATTTATTAAGCTGAAGTCAGTTGCAAAGGAAGTATTTTATAGAACAGAACAGAACAGAACATGAATTTTATTTTAGATTTGAGCATTTCGCTCCTCATCCATTACATAATTATACATTATTATGTCAAAGTCAAACAATACAATGATATAATACAATATTGAAAATGACAGTATATGTGGTACATATGACAAAAGAAGGTATAGAATATATATCAGTATCATTTAACATAAAATTCTTAACGTACATGACAATAAATTGAGCATTTATTTATATATATTATATTTATTAATTATTTATTGTAAAAGATTATGCCTAATTCTTAATGCACAATTTAGGAAACAAACTAAATTATTCAACATTTTTTCATTTCTGGTTGACAACAACTGGGTAAGTTTAAATTTAGATGGTCTTTCATAATAATATTTATCAATGTAACGTTTTCTTATAAGTCTGTAGCAGGGGCACACACAAATCATATGGAATTCATCCTCAATGTCTCTGGATTGACATACATTGCATGTTCTTTCACCTCTTTCAATTCTATTCTGACCATATCGTCCGGTTTCAATCCTAAGGCAATGTGCAGATATCCTAATTTTGGTAATAACAGATCTATAATTGTATTTTTTTTTTCTACCTAAGATACTCTTCGAATAAAAACTCTGATTTATATAAACGGTAGTTTAAACATTTGCTTAAATATTGAACATCATGTACTTTTCCAACTTTGGATAAACTGATCTCGAAGTTTGAACTTAACAAGACTTTCATGGTATGTAGATTGACCTAACCAATAATTTTATAAACCCAGTTCGTCAAAAGTATTCTTAACAAAAAGAAAGTCACGGTAATGCAGTTCTATATCTAACATATACAAAGTATGCAGTCTTATATAAAATACTACAAACCTTATCAGCTTTAGCATTCAAAGCTTACACCAGTAGTTAATAGTTCTATTTTTTTACATGCAAAGATATAGGAGTAACTCCAAGTTCACCTTATAGCATACGTACAATTGGGAGTACTTTGCTTGACGTTAAGAATAATTTTGTAACCACGGATTTATATTATAATTAAGAAACTTAATACACTTTAAATTTTCTATTCCCCAAACTTCAGAGCGATAACAAAGAATACGAACAATCATTGTATTAAACAATTAAGTAACAATTAATTGTCTATATATTTTTTATCAGAGAGAACATATATATAGCTTTCATTATTGTTCGTTTGATCAATAGACAGGAACCCGAAATTCTATCCAAAACAAAAAAAAATAACGATTTAAAAAATCCCATGTATATACTATAAAACATAGTGTAATATATGAGTTTTTTTAATGTTTTTTTTTTTTTTTTTGGATAGAATTTCGGATTCCTGTGATCAATATTTCGTTTTCTAGATTTAGCAAATTTACCATTTTCCATAAATTGAATACCTAGATAAGAAAAATCATGTAGGCCTACTAACTCTAAGTTATCATTATCGAAAGAAAATTGAGGTGCATCTTCTATACGATTCCTGTCCCTAGAAAATATTACAGTCTTTGTTTTTGCAGAGTCCACTTTTAAATTCCAAACAGCATGGCAACAAGTTTCAATATTTCAAGATTTTATTCAATATTGTCGTGGTTCATAAGAACATGTGACATAAAAACATGTAACAACTGGAACACAGAAAAATATACATAAAAAATACATATAAAACAGAGAATAAGTGACAATTATAGTAAAATAAAGATATGACTAATAACCGAAATCTACTTATGTTTGGTGAACAAAATTTCTAGGAGACTAATGACACCAAATTAAACTTATTATTTATATGTTGTAATTATTTTCTTAACAACATAAAGCAAGATATTTTAAATGTGCTTCAGAATTTGATTTTATGATTTTATTCAATACTGTCATGGTTAAAAAAAACAACATGTGACATATGTATCTTGCTGTAGTTGATAAACTTTGGGGTTAACACATTGTTGTTCGGTGTCAGTGGAAGCTGTAAATAAAAGTGGAAGACTTTAAATATTTTGTAATTAAAATGTTTTTATTTCGCAGGTCTACTGGACTGCTATTGTATTTTATAGGTTTTTATCTTAACATAGTTTATAACTTGCAGGTTTCAATAATAATGTAATAAATCTAAGAGTAGTAGATCTTATAAAACGATTCGCCCCAACTAATATTCGCACCAAAATCTGTCAACATATATGCGTTAAAAACTTATGACATGCTCAGAAAAAAGCCTGTCCATCGATACCAATTTCTCATTGTTGCTCTTACAAATTACTTTTAAATGGAATATGGACCAGAAATTAACACATTTTCTTTAAAAGTTTTATTCAAAATTTCATAAATTATCGTCCGGTCATGTGTTTTGACGCTCATCTATTTTGACGCCATTTTTGTTTTGACCTAATAAATGACGAAAACGACCTCTCATGACGTCATAATTTGCTGACTGCACTGCAAGCATGTACTTACAACGTTTAACTAAAACATGTGGAAAGACAGAGACATTTCATTGAAAATACTTCACCTTTATCAAATTTACTGTATTTTTTCATCTTTTTACTAATGCAAATTCAATCAATGTGTATGCAAGCCATAATTTTGCAAATAAAGCCTTTGAAAAATCTTGACCTGCCCTTTTCTGTTTCTATCCTCCATTTTAAAATGTCTTATGAGTGTCATGTGACCAAAACTTTGCAAAGTGTCCTTTATATTCACTGTAGCATAAGGTTAGTCAAAATATTTTAACCTACGGGATTTTTAGATAATTTTTGACATGGTCAAAATCCCAAAGCGTAGCTCTGATCGCGTTGATATTTCGACTAGCATAAGGTGTACAGCTTATATTGTTTGAAAACGTTAATTGGTTTTTAATTGATACTGAGTAAAGTTCATAATGGGTTAACTATTGTATATAAAGTTTAAAAAAGAAAGAAAAAAATCATTTTTTCAAATCAACATATACATATCTTTACAACATCTTTCATTTTAGATATATTTTTCAGCCCTGTAAGCCAAATACAGATGCTATTCATCAAGATTAATGGTAAATACATTCAAAATGAAAGAGACAGGTGCACCTATTAAGACCACTGCTAGGGTGTATGGCATTCCTAAATAATGGACAGTTTTATATGAAATAAAACATAATTTTAAGTTTTCACGATGTTGTTTCATTGCAGGTTTGCTCATTAAAAATATTCTTTTGCTGTTCATATTACGTTACAGTGAAATATCCTTTTAAAATAACCACCCAATGAAAAGGCGTCATTTCATATGACTGTAAACAGCAATGGATGCCTCCACGGTCTATTTACTCAAGTACAAAACTTAATTGATTTTGAATTTTTAACAAACATAAAAATGGTTTGCAGTGATAAACTACATGCCATAGTAACTTTATATTGTATATTATTTAATGATCAAGTTCAATATGAAAAATTGCACTAGTTAAACAGCTTAAGGGCGTCAAAACTAATGACTCTAGGATAAATGTATTAAATTAGTACTTGGAATATGGACACCATCCTTCTCTGCCTTCCCCTGAATATTAAAAATAAAAACATTTTTTGCAAGCAGAAGTCGTTCTTTTTCTAACAATATGAAAACGTCAAAGCCTCATAGGCTCTAAGTGAGCTCAAATTACTTTTACCTAGTCCTATAAATATGACGTCGCTTTGAAATATTTTTGCTTCTGGGCAAAGCAATGTCATATCAAAATTGCTCAAAAACCAATACTGTAGCACGTTCCGCCAGAAAATCAGGCGGAACGAAACACCAAGACAGCGTGTGTTTGCATTCATTTTGACCTATATACTGTATAAACAAAATTAAAAAATAAATACCTCTAACCAAAATAATTAAACTCACATCCGAAAAATCATGATTAAATCCTCTCATGTAATTAAATTCCTTAAACAGTCGATAAACAAATGGCCGCCATACAGTGCGCGAAATCTGATTGGCTAATTCAAATGCAAGCGTTTAAGTGAGTCAGTAAATTGTAACGGAATATTATTTAACGAAATAATTCCCCATGCACCATCAGCGTGTATTATTTATATATTTTTCCGTTCAAAAAATTTGGAATCAATCTGTAAAGCGCATTACTTGAGTGTAGGACAAAAGCCCTCTCGGACATAAGCCCTCTCGTCAAAAAGTGACATGGCGGACAAAAGCCCTCCCGTGAAAATGACAAAGTGGACAAAAGCCCTCCCGTGAAAATGACAGGGCAGACAAAAGCCCTCCCGTAAAAATGACTTGGCAGACAAAAGCCCTCCTGTGAAAATAATAAGGCGGACAGAAGTCAATCACTCTTAAAAGTGACTTTGTTTTTAACGAATTTCGTGTAAAAAGTTACCTCGATAAACATTTCAGGAAGGTAAATTAAGAATAAAAGGTGGTTCTAGCTCATACACATACTAGAAAACAACAAGAAATATATGTAACAATTTTAATATGATGAGCGCATTGAAAAAAAACACAGGTATTCAACATACATATTTATTTTTGTTACGGGAGGGCTTTTGTCCGCCCAGTCGTTTTCATGGGAGGGCTTTTGTCCGCCCTGTTTAATACCACCGATACCCTTTTTTAAATCACGTGTCTTTGTATGAATAATTAAACATTTTCTGCTGATTTCTTGCAATCAGTGCTTGTCGCTGAATCCATTTCGTGCATTACAGGAAAAGCTATAAGGAAATTTCTACATGTAGATATATAAGCTTGTATTGCTTGCCAAATGTTACTGTCTCGGATCATGATGTTTGCAATTACACAGTCATTGTGAATGTATCTGGCTCTCTGATGGAATGTCAGTGGCTCTACTCTGGTGCCTGTTCATATTTAGAATAATGAATGGAGGGGCACCTGAGGGCTTCCTCCACCAATTAAACTAGATTTTCTCCATATGACCCTTACATAATTGGTACGAAGAAAATCTCAAAAATATAAAAAGAAACCAAAAACATCACATTATAAAAACTGCTGCCTACCTTGAATCTTTCTCATAAAACCATCCCATAGTGTGTAGGGCCTGATCTTTATTAAGATATTCTGCAGTTGTTGAGAAATCCCAACAGTTAAATTCTCAAGAATGTACCCATGACATTCTTTATTTTCAAAAATTGGGGGAGAAAATTGCTGATTAAATTGAGAAAATGTTAGGGTTTTCTTTTAATTGGAAAGTCTATCATTATTTGCCTTAATTATATAAAGAAAAAAGCTTTTGGTTTAATAATTTTGATTGAAATGATTTCTGAGAAATCAGATAGATTGATGCATGTAATGTTCTGTTATATTTCATCGATGATCATATTATGTTTTACTTTTTTCAGCGTCACCCTGTTGTTAGAAGAATGTGTTGGGGACAGACAGGACAGTTTTCATAGGGTTTTCTGTCTTAAGTGAAGGAGACTAATGCCGTCACAAGTAAGGTAGATAACTCAGATCAGACAACTGTCCAGGTACACAACAGTCTTGCATATATAAACTGAATCATGATCATCAGTCTTACCCAAGTAATGAAAAAGATCGAAAGAAAAAATTTAATTGCTGTCATTGCATGATAATTACACTGCAATGTGTATATTGTTTTAATTTCATTGGAATTCTAGGATTTCATATCCTTAAACATAAAGATACTTTGAAAATTATAATTAATAGAAAATTATTGAGTAAAAAGTAAGAACAATTAACAATTTATGTATTGATAAAAACCATCTTCAAGTGGAAAAGTTTATTTCAATTAATATATTTAAGCTATGGGAATGGATCATTATATTTCAGAACCCTGACAAGCTACGGGAAAAGAGATACTTTCATAAATTGGGATATCTCAGAACTCTGAAAAGCTATCGGGGGGAAAAGAGAAACTTTCATAAGTTGCCACATCTCAGAACTCTGACAAGCTATGGGAAAAGAGAAACTTTCATAAGTTGCCACATCTCAGAACTCTGACAAGCTATGGGAAAAGAGAAACTTTCATAAGTTGCCACATCTCAGAACTCTGACAAGCTATGGGAAAAGAGAAACTTTCATAAGTTGCCACATCTCAGAACTCTGACAAGCTATGGGAAAAGAGAAACTTTCATAAGTTGCCACATCTCAAAAGCTATGGAAAAACAGATAAGCTATAGGGAACGAGAATCACTTTCGTTAGTAATTACATCTTTTGAGTGACAAGCTATGGAAGTGGAGAATATTCATAAGACATAATGATAACATCACAGAATGATAAGCTATAGGCAAAACAATAAGTTATTACATACCAGTACAAGCTATTAGAATAGAGAATCTTTCATAAGTTGCAACATCTTGGAATGATTTACAAGACAGGAGAATGTACTTTTTTATATTCATTGTTGTGTGAAATGAATTGAATTGCATGAATATATATTGCAAGCAGTTGCTATGGTTATATATAGAATCATGAACATGAATTTCATCACTGGATGTTACAAATAGTGAACTAATTTCTTTATTATATGCTTGTTACCTAAAAGAGAAAAGTTCAAATTTACAGTGTATGTGAAAATAAAAGAACAAAGATAGACACCAAGAGAAGGAATGGTTGAGGGGTTAATATGTTTGAGGACAACTTTATAGAGCAGTCAATCAGCAAGGATATTATGTAGAATTATATTATAAGTCTGCAATATGTACAGCATTATTTAAATCAGCATTTTTTTATGATGTAGAATTATAAGTCTGCAATACGTACAGCATTATTTTAAATAATAATTACATACAATGTGTCTGAATGATCTTTTGTTATGTTATGATATAGATACCACCTTTAAACATTTGTGTATAAGTCTTGTTTTGTTACAGACTCCAATAGGAGATTGACAGCGTTCATTACCTCAAAAATAAAGACTTTTTGATATGATATGTTTTAGTCTAATTTCATGAGCATATAGTTTTATATATATGTTTAAATCTAGATTTAAGGTTATTCCTCATACAGTGTTTTTATTTGTTAAAGTCTAGTTTAAGGTTATATAGTTCTATTTGTTTAATTCTAGTTTTTAGGTCATATAGTACTATTACTTGTTAAAGTCTAGTTTTAAGGTTATATAGTTTTAGTATTTGTTTAAGTCTTGATTTAAGACTGTATAGTTCTATTGTTTGTTTAAGTCTAGTTTCAAAAGAGCTTATATATCTTATTAAACTTGCTATTTAGTCAGATAAGTTGTAAGGTATGTGTTTTTACCTAGTCAACTTTTAAGTTTATATTGCTATTTAGTCAGCTTTATTAAAATTTATATTTTCTGTCAGCTATATTTATGTTCAAACTATTTTATCAGCCAGCTTCAGAGTTTACATATAATTTAGTCACCCAGATTTAGGTTTAGATATCTAGTCAACAAAAAATTGTTTTTAGCTTAGTCAGCTAAAATTGTTGTTTGCTTAGTCAGATAAAATTGTTTTTAGCTTAGTCAGCAAAATTGATTTAAGCACTTTTTGTTGGTCAGATGTTGTATTTAGCTATTTAGTTAGTAATTTATTGTTAGCCTTTTAAGTCTGAGAACCAACTTTTTAAGTCTCCTGTTTGTTGAGGTATATTGAACTTAAAATATTTAGCTCATCTTATAAAAGTTCAGATATTTAGTTGGCTATATATTTGTCAAACAACTTTCAAGTAAGCTACCATATTTATGCAGCAAAATTTATATGTTTTTAGTCAGCTATTTTTTTTTATGTCAGTCACATACAATATTTAGTAAGTTATTCTTTTAGCTGAAGTATTTAGCCAGCTAAATTTAATATTAGCTACTTATACAGTAACATTTTTTTGTCACAATTTATAATATCTTATTGAATATGTAAATATACATGTACCAAATATTGTTATTTAGATTATTTGAGATCAATCAAATTATTATCCATGGTAAATTATCAAAGTATTATTCCTGCAAACTTAGTTGGATATATATTGCTATTTTTTTTCGTGATAAAAACATTTACCAAAATTAATGTAGAATTGTTGTATATACCCAAATGTTCAGAAATGTAGAGGTATCCGTCTTTTTGAGGACGCATTCCAGTCAGTTAGAAAATGTTTATAATATATAAATATATTTTTGTATTCAGTTCTAATAGTATTGTTTCTAGATTTTTATGTTGTTTTTGATAGTTTTTAAGATTATATTTTTAGTGTTTTTATCTAAGTCACATAAATTTTGTTTTCATGTTTGTGATAGTTTTAAAATTTGAGTTTTATCTAAGTCAAGTAATTGATATAATTTTAAAATCTATGTTGTCATAGTAGTTGGACATAAACCGAGTTATATCTGTAAATAAAAGATGGCTGGCCAATTTGTTTTGTTTACATGTATGTCAGCTAATTTTTAGTTGAGCTCAAGACATTTCATTGTAAAATGATCAAAGTAAAGATTTATAAATGCATACTATAAAATCAAACTTTTATTTTAACATTCCTACTTAATATTAAGACACATTCCTTTTGATGAAAGTTTCTTTTTAGACTTTTAAAATTGCTGTTTTTGTTATTTTCATTTCTTAATAATTATAAAGACTGATTCATTCCATCTCTTTATAGAATTATTTTCATGAAAATGTTTTTTGTTTATATTTAGTTAAATATATTTTGTATTATTCCTTTATTAGTTAAATATATTTTATATTATTCCTTTATTAGTTAAATATATTTTATATTATTCCTTTATTACATGTATTTGTTATATATACATTGTATTTGATATCATTCCTTTATAAGTTAGATATTTGATATCATTCCTTTATTAGTTAAATGTATTTGATATTGTTCTTTTTTTAATTGATATTTCATATTTTGCTCATTTTTAATGGAAGTTTTAATTTGTATAGCTTCTATCTTTTATAACCTTCAAATATGGTATGTGATTTATTTATAAGTGTCTCATAACGAATCAAACATGGAAGGCGGTGCTAAATCGAACAAAAAGTCTTCTGCTTTTTTAGTAAGATGTTGTTTTCAACTTGTTACTTTAGTTTCTAGTCGTCACGTTAGATTGTTTATTTTGATGATTGTTATACTGTGCAGCATTGTTCCATTTTTCGCAATAGATATGCCGTTCTCTAAGCTGTATGAAAGATACCACACGCAGTCGGAAACCTTAAATTGTGCTAAAAAATTTAATTCGCTACGGCTTTCAAAAGCATTAAAGTACTTCAATGAATCATATTCTAAAACACCTTCTTCATTCTATATTGAACGTTCACGTAGGGAACCAGAGATTGTTGTTTGTATTATAACTGTGAGCCGTAGTAACTCGCGTCACGAAACTGGTTACCTAATTCAAACTTCATCTGTAATAGACAGCATTATAAAATCTGACACCACCTTTAAAAATACACTCCTTTTTGTATGCAATGTTGACAGAAATCCGAACAAGCACTTTGATGCAATGTTTGTTCAGTCATACGTTCCCTATGTTAATAAATACGGATATAACAGTTTTGGAAAAACTTTTTACATCAATAACTTTACTTCCAACCATTCTGATGCGTCTCGTAGGAGGGAATTTGAAGATTATATTTTCTGTCTGAATGTATCGAAATCTTTTGGTTCACCGTATGTATTAATGTTAGAAGATGATGTCCTTCCGTATAAGAATGTGTTTCAAATTTTACATTACACCATCAAGCAGCATAATTTACAACATTCTGAGCATTTAGGAAAGAAAGTAGTTCCTGGGAGAGAGTTTGCATTTCTAAAACTGTATTATCCAGAGCGATGGCAGGGGTTTGCTAACGAATTCGATAAGATCCTTGAACTTTTTAGCATTGGTTCATTAGGAGGGGCACTTATGCTTTCAGTTGTTTTTCTGTTCCCTTCAAATTCAGGCCTTTCATACTCATTGAAGTTGTTTTATTTTATATTTGGTGCTTTTATGACAATGATGTCAGTCCTTATAATTGGGCGACATAATGTGATATCCTTACGCAGAATATTGCCGCAATTATTTGTATTTAAACCTACGCCAGGTTGTTGTACGCCTGCAATGTTTTATTCATCATCTGTTTTGAATGACTTGATGTATCATCTCATGTTTCACTCTGATATCAACAAAGATCTGGCAATCAATGATTTTATAAAACAGAACGATATTCCTGGGTATATATTAGAACCAAATTTATTCCGACATATCGGAATGTACACTTCACTTACAGATGCCTATAAACCACCAGTAGAGTTCATTTTTGACATGCCTTAATAATATATAATATGTAATATGTAAAATTACAACATGTCTCTTTTATTCAGAATTTCAAAATGCGTGGTCATTATTAGAAGATGTACACAATCACCATCGTGTAAATATAAATATATGCTGATGTGATCATAAGATTTATCACATACCTCTGCCGATTTTGCGACTCTGTAAAAATGGTATTGCACGACCGAGCATATTTTTTTATATGACCATATTTGCATTATACAAACATAGTGTGAAGACGCGCTAAATGTCAGTGTTAAACTGTAGGTGCGTCAATGAAAAATGACTCTTTTTTACTTTAAACAGTCTTTGTTTTTGGTATGTGATAATTAGAATATTAAATCCGTGTAAGTTCATTACTGAATTTAATGAACCTGTTGAATAAAATAATATGCTTGCCAGAGGCTTGTATAATGTAATTTTTTTCAACTTGCTCAATACATTCAGTATTGAACTTACACTCATTCAATAATGATAACAAGTTCTTTTAACTAAGGAGAATCAGTATGAACAAAATTTATATCCAAAATGTATCAAATCTATGTATTATGAATGGTTTCTTTCATTCCCATTAGTATTGTAATATTTTTGATATATAAAGCATGAAAATACCCCCAACAAATAACTATGATTGACTTTACAAAAATAAGTTTTTATCATATTTAGATTTAAAGATCCTGTATGTTTTGTGATTGATATTGTTACTGTGTGTATGTATACCACACTTACAAAAAATTATATATGTATAAAATTATGCAAATAAAACAATTTTCAAACATTGAAGAATATGTAAAATGTGTACTGCAAATATTTGTGCACATTATATTTAATCAATAAATTACATGCATTCATTTCTTATTGGAAAATTTGACTTAGAATTTATAGTAAATAAATTTCTAATTACCTCCCTTTATTTACATGAAATATTAAACTGGGTAATATCTTTAAAAATAATGCTTATTGGAACTTACAAAATAGACAAATCTTAATTTGAGCATTATATTATTATTAAACCGAGGGAGTATAACAAGAACAGCTATGTTAATCAGCTATGTAACTTCTTCATGTATAGGTGCAAAATTGCATTGCAAGCCATGTTTTAATAAACATACTTTATAGGAAGCTTTAAATTTGGTCTAGTCTGACCTTACACTCAGGATTTTGTTTTACTGATGCAAACGTTCTATGATATTTGCATTAAACAGATACATATGATACAGTATATCAAATAAGTTTATTTTGGTAATCAGATTGTTATTATTTTATAAAAATGTTGTATTATGATTTTAAATATTATTTCATGTTATATATTGTATAAATATTATAAGTTCTACACAATGCTTGAGTTACATGTAGTTATAACTAGCAGGTCTACCCTAGTCTTATATTGTTATTATGGAAGTATAGTAAAAAAACAAGTATAATTGACTTGTTAGTTAAATGTGTACTTATTTGTGCATACAATTAAAGGGACTTGACTGAGGCTTTTTGACATTTTTTTTCCAAGACTTTTGATTTACTGTATGAAGGTCTGAACCAATAACTTGTGTGCAAAATTTCAGATTTTGGATATTTTGACCTGTTTCTGATAATTTACGTGCATTGTAAGTACTGTCTGTTATCTGTAAATTATTTTCTTTGTTCACTTCACAACATTATCCTATTAAAAACATTTTTAAAATTTTCATGAAAATTAGCATGAATCTGGAGGCATTCTACTTTAAAGTGATTCCATCTCTATAATGTAGATGTGTTAGATATGTTCTAATTTGATTACACAATCCTGTGTTGAACAATCCTGTGTTCCATTACAACAGTGTTTCATTCATAATACTCTATGTAATTGTTTTGTTGTATCAATCATGACCTCAAAGTTGTATATGTTAGTATAATGCCATGCATTAAGAGACTGAAATGAGCCACGCCACAACAAAACCAACATAGTGCGTTTGCGACCAGCATGGATCCAGACCAGCCTGCGCATCTGCGCAGTCTGATCAGGATCCATGCTGTTCGCTATCAGTTTCTCTACTTGTAAAGGAGTTGGTAAGTGAACAGCATGGATCCTGATCAGACTGCGCGGATGCTGGTCACAAACGCACTATGTTGGTTTTGTCAAGGTGCGGCTCAAATGTTGTTGTGTTGATGTACAGTAAACACTTCCTTAATACGAACACTGCATGTGTTCTATATAGCTGCATTGTAAAAGCTAGTTGGTCATAACCAATACTCCATGTCATGCATGTGTTCTACATATCTGTAAACACTGCCTTGTTAAAAAGAATAGCACATATCATATAAGTTGGTCGGTCATGTTGAACACTACTGATATTTAAAGCTTTAATACTGTAAAGTTATTCTTAATACCTCAAAATGTGTTCTTTTTACCTTTAACATTGGGCATGCTATAATGAACACCTCAGATCATACAAAATGTGTTTTCTTTATTCTACAATGTACAAGTTAATGGTAAACACCTATTGATTGTTATCATTAATGTGTTTATGTATTTATTATCTTAACAGTTTATCATAATCATTTTATTGTTTTCTTATGTAATGTTACCTCAGAAAATTTTATAATTTGTTATTATTTAAAAATAGTGTATTTTTATTTTACTATTAAGTTATTTTACTATATTGTAGCATAAATTAGAAATAATTGAATCAAATTATTTGAACAATATGTATTAAAAGTTTTGACAATTTTCACTGTCTTTCAAAAGTTGTCATATATGTAATTAAAATACTGTACATTTGTAACGTCATTTTTCATTGGACAATGGTGATGTTTTATATTTTTTATGTACTTGTCTGTGCAAATTTGTGAATTAATTTTTTTTTTCAATCAAAGTATGCTTTTAATTTCTTTATAAAGCCTTTTTGCAGGTTTTATTTCCTTGTAAAAACAGACAGTCGTTCACAATATTCCTCTGGCCTAACAACTCTGGCCATAAATGCACCCTTACCTGACAACCCTGGTCATAAATGCGCCTTGGCCTAACAACTCCGGTCATTAATGCACCTTGGCCTAACAACTCTGGTCATAAATGCTCCCTGGCCTAACAATTCTGGTCATAAATGCACCTTGGCCTAACAACTCTGGTCATAAATGCACCCTGGCCTGACCACTATGGTCATAAATGCACCCTAGCCTAACCACTCTGGTCATAAATGCACCCTGGCCTAACCACTCTGGTCATAAATGCACCCTGGCCTGACCAAGTAATAAATGCACCCTGGCCTGACCACTCTGGTCATAAATGCACCCTGGCCTAAACACTCTGGTCATAAATGCACCCTGGGCTAACCACTCTGGTCATAAATGCACCCTAGCCTAACCACTCTGGTCAGTGGTCATAAATGCACCTTGGCCTAAACACTCTGGTCATAAATGCACTCTGGCCAAACAACTCTAGTCATAAGTTTATACAATTGCTAATGTTTGGTAATAAAACCTGCCAAAAATCTTTATAATAGTCTGGTTTGAATTCAATTAATTTCGTGGGCATGAAATTTTGTTGTTTTGTCACAAAAAACATTTTTGTGGGTTCCTCAGTTGATGGACTGTTTGTTTTTTCCGAAAGGTAAAATGTAAATAGTGTGATGCAAAATTATCTTACCGCATACAAAATGAAATTCTGTTACATCTTAAATTTGTGGATAGACCTAACCATGAAAATCGCAAAAATTAGTTCCCTACAAATAAAAATGATTTTTCAGTATATAAATAATATAATATTTGTTTTATACTATTTATATGTTTTAAAGGATTTAATCCAAATTATGTTATGTACGGGTGCTTTCTTCACCACCTTACCTTTTCTAGTTATTCGTATAATGTTCCTTGCAATTCTTGCCAGTTTACCAATTCTTTTTTAAAATGGATTAGAAATGTTATTTGATATCATTTTATAACATAACTATCTCTCAAATATCATATTTACTCCTATTTTATCAAAATTGGTATATAAATTTTCACTGTCTCAAGTATACATTTAAATTAGTATAGTTTTAGTGTTTTACCACATGAATCATTCATAATATTCATAATATTACTGTGTAGTTAATACTATGTTTATTAAAAATCAGATATAATTATAGGTCTTCAATACGTCTCCCTTATGCATGTTTTAAATATATAATTATATTCTAGCATTTTATTGTTACTAAATGGTCATTTATTTAATGAATACTACCATAATCAAATATTTCAAGGATGTTTTAAGTACAGAAGTACATGTATACATATGCTCAAACATTTTATAGTATTAATTTTTTTTTCAGTACAATCATGACATTGCCCTTGCAGTTTTGGCTATATCTGACAATATGTCTGACAGTTGCTTGCTTTAATTATTTCTTATGATATTAAGATTAATTACATGTTTATTATATTTTCTGCATTTTATCATTCCACTTTGTGACGTTTTAGCAATCCAATTTATGGCATTTTAGCATTCCAATTTGTGGCATTTTAGCATTCCAATTTGTGGCATTTTAGCATTCCAATTTGTTGCATTTTAGCATTCCAATTTGTGGCATTTTAGCATTCCAATTTGTGGCATTTTAGCATTCCAATTTGTTGCATTTTAGCATTCCAATTTGTTGCATTTAAGCATTTGTGACATTTCATGATATATAAGTATTATGATATTTTATATAACAAAAACTCTATTGACAATTATTATTAACAGACACAGTCAGGCTGTTAAAACAGTTGAAACACAGGTTTGACTATAGTACCAAATTAAAATCTTGTTTGACTGTAGCACTTAGTTCTTAAAAACAGGTTTGACTGTAGTACTGATTAGTTATTAAAAAAACAGGTTTGACTGTTGTACTAAATAGTTATAAAAACAGGTTTTATTGTAATACTGAATAGTTGTTAAAACCAGGTTTGACTGTAGCACTGAATAAAACAGGTCTGACTGTAGCACTTAATACTTAAAAACAGTTCTGACTGAAGCACTTAATACTTAAAAACAGGTCTGACTGTAGCACTAAATATTTAAAATCTAGTCTGACTGTAGTATTTAATACTTAAAAATAGGTCTGACTGTAGCACTAAATATTTAAAATCAGGTCTGACTGTAGCACTAAATATTTAAAATCTAGTCTGACTGTAGTATTTAATACTTAAAAATAGGTCTGACTGTAGCACTAAATATTTAAAATCAGGTCTGACTGTAGCACTAAATATTTAAAATCTAGTCTGACTGTAGTGTTTAATACTTAAAAATAGGTCTGACTGTAGCACTAAATATTTAAAATCAGGTCTGACTGTAGCACTTAATACTTAAAAACAGGTCTGACTGTAGCACTAAATATTAAAAATCAGGTCTGACTGTAGCACTTAATACTTAAAAACAGGTCTGACTGTAGCACTAAATATTTAAAATCAGGTCTGACTGTAGCACTTAATACTTAAAAACAGGTCTGACTGTAGCACTAAATATTTAAAATCAGGTCTGACTGTAGCACTTAAAAACAGGTACTCAATGCTTCAAGCAGGATTGATTGTTGTTAAAAAAGATAAAACAAATTAAATTGTTAGCCTACATTGCTTTAAACAGGGTTGTCTGTACTCTTTGCAGGGTTTGTACAGTGTGAATAGTGCTTAAATGCCTAGATAGGTTAAACAGGTTAAACTGTAGTTCTTAATAGTTTAAACAGGTTTAAATGCAGACCTAAAAAGACTGGTTTGACTGTGGTCTTCAATTGATTAAAAATTTGGCTGAAGTCATAAACTGTTAAACAAAGTTTTACTGTAGTGCTAAATACTAGTCATTAAGAACAGGGTTTAATGTTGTCTTAGATTATCTATTTAACTTTAAAATTTGTTTATGTTAATTAATGTTTATGAAATAAGAAGTGACACCACCGATTAGCTATTTTATATGTTTATTACTTTTATACATACAGTTCAAATGTTGTTACAAGTTGTAAAACATCAGTGGATATTCATTGTAGTTACCTCAGTAGCTTAGAATATTTTTTGTACCCTTACATTTAGAGTTGTTAACCAAAAAACAGTTAATCTGTTGGCATATACCTCATTTAACTTTTTATCTGCCAATCTATCTTCAACCTTTGCCTGAACCAAAAGTGATTAGCATTTGCTACCAATATAGATCCAGGCCAGGCTGAATGTGAAGTTTGACAAGGCTCTATACTGTTGGCTGAGTAACTTTAAAATTTTCATCTTCATATCCCTTAAAAGCCTAAATTTGTTAATATACATTTCCATGACATGTGCATTTAAGAAGTTAAGCAGTTTAAGGGTCCAACACAGACTGGGTGATGATTAATATTTAAAACAAGATGCATTTTTGTAAGTCTATATTATAATGGGCATTTATTGTTATTAATGGTTATTTATATTTAGGAACAGATATGTATATTATACATAGAGTACTTTCTGTTGTTTATATGTCTTTCCTTTATTATTGTTAACTGTATCCGGAATAAAATGAATATAAACGTCAAGTGTTTGTATTTAATAATACATAGAGGATATTCATGTTTTTTCTATTAATACAGGATTTATTTTCATCGAGTGGTATGAAAATAAATATTCACGAGTGGCGGTAGCCATGAGTGAAATATTGTAATTTTCATATCACAAAATACATGTATGTTTCCCTGCAGTGAAAAATATTTTTTTTCAGTGAAAATATGGAAAATGAAAATACGCATTTTGTTGCATCAATATGTATCAGTATTTTACTTACAAGTATATTATACAATTATTACTATTCATTTTAAAAGGGTGTAGTAACGTACTCCAACATGATGCAATCTAGTAAAAAATCAGAAGTTAATTAAGAAAACAGAGTGTATATAGGCTCCGCATTCTTTCACAGTTATTTTCATGGTATTTCGCCAAACGCTCTGTTCTTGGACACTGGACCACTGTCGCCACTTAACAGTACGCTATATGTGCTATAACTTGAGGTATCTTGAAGTTTACAAGTCTGCTGGCCTCAGACGAGTCCACGCTTAACTGATATTTTATTATTATTTTTTTTTTGCTGCATGCAAATATTCGCGACCGAATATAATATAATGTAATATAACAAGTTGTTTTTTTCTGACACGTGTAAAACACGTGTATATTAATGTAAGGTCGTCACAAGTAACTGTTAAAATGGAGAACGTGCGCATACTGTGGGTTTCGCGTGTAATGTGACACAGTTTTGATATATCCTAACCTGTTTTATTGAATTGCTGCATTGAATTGTTTTATTGAATTTACTTTTTAATTCTCTTTCCTTTTTGATCGCCGACTTTTTTAGGTACCAGCTTTGGCGCGTAAAATTATATACGCAAGACCAGGAAACGTCATGTACATGTAGTTGAATTCAAAGTGTCAATCTTTAAAATATATCGATCTTGCGATGCATGGATTAATAGTCCTGCCCTTTTAATTCATAGACAAGGTGCGCGCTGCAAATACGATTTTGCCTGGATGCACAATATTATTATAATCAAATATATCTTAAAGGAAGCATGTGGCAATAGAATAACTTGTCCGTCTACAGTAACTGTACTGTAAACATACAAATTGCATTTCTATCATTTTAGCACCGCCTGTATCGAGATACACATGTATATACTTATTTTAAAATGATGTTCACTTATTAAAACAATCAGGACACAAGACTTCAACATTTTCAGCACAGGAGCTTTAGATGCTTGTAAAGTTGAAAATCTTGCTAACATTACATAGTCTCACTTGAAAGTTGTAGCCAGTACAATGTGGAGTACGCGACCCACTTAACTTTCTTAAGATAAGAAAAATTGCAGTTATTAGACATGTGTTCCTGTCACATGGCTTGTTTTGTTTAAGTTCGTTATCTTACAATACGTTTGTACTGTTTGAATTCTGAAATATAAGGATTTTTAGACGAAAATGCACGTTTATACTGGACTGCTATTAGGTTTAAGCTTCATATTCTTAGCAATATATTTCTCCATTGATGTTCCTTTCTCGGCTGTTTTCAAATATAGTCGTTCATATTCAGACAGGATGAAAATTGCGGAATCGAAAAACAGAGCAAGATTAAAGAAGTCTTTACATTATATCTACACACGTGATGAGCCAATGCAAAAGATGCCGCGACTCTCCGAGGCAGACGACATTGACCTCCTGATAGTAATTGTAACGGTGTCACGAGAAAAATATTCACGGGAAGAGAAAAATGGATATCTGTTTCAAACGGCGACTTCCATGGACAAGCTTATGAAAAGTGACGAATATTTCAAAAAGAAAGCAATGGTTATATGCAATGTAAATGACGATCCGGAAAAACATGGAGATGCTGTTGAACTTCAGAGTTACCTCCCTTTTATAAACAAGGGCGGTGGAAACAATCTTGGGTTTAACGTAACTGTTATTCCGGAGCTACAGAACTGTGGACTTACAGATGACGCGAGGAGAAAAGAACTTATTGATTACGCATTTTGTTTGAATGTCTCTCATTCTATTCGACATCAGTATGCTTTATTCCTCGAGGACGATGTGATTCCTTATGAAAATTTATTTAAAGTTCTACACCATACGCTGAAATACCGACACAAGCGAAATAAACAATTTTCTTTCCTAAAACTTTATTATCCAATAAGGTGGCAAGGATATGCCTTTGAAATAGATCGGATTCTGGAACTGATAAGCTTTGGTACACTTGGTGGTGCTTTATTTTCGATTTTAGCTTGGTATTTCGAGTATGATTTACCTAGAAAGAGGAAAGTTAAGAGTAATATTGGACCATTTTTCATAATGGGATTTCTGAGTTTTCTTATCGTCGCCAAAATTATAGGTCGTATGCAAGTATTGGAGCTTCGCAGAATTACCCCGCATCTTTCTAAGCTAGGACCAAGTCCAGAATCGTGTACACAGGCTATGCTTTATAAAAGAGAAACCTTGCAAGATCTTATCCGACATTTGCTGGTCAACAACAGTCTTAATAAAGATCTGGCTATCTCGGACTTTGCTAAGAAACAAGGAAGCTCAGGATACTCGTTGGAACCAAATTTGTTTGCACATACAGGCATGCGGACATCATTTTCGTCAGAAAGTAAAGACCCCGAAGAATTTTTGTTCAACATGCCATTTTTAGAATAAATAGTGTTTAAGCTGTAAATCAGTTAGCAGACTGGCTTAACAGTATGATTATCATATGTTTAGGCATACTTCATCATTGGACGAAGTCCTTAAACTTGACTGCGTCTTTCAAGTTAATTTACATTAGAACCGAGATACGAATTTTTTTACATTTGATTCAAAAGGTAATATCCTGTAAAAGTTCGAGTCATTTATATGTCTCCTATATAAATAATATGCTGCAACTATGAATACACTTTTAACATTACTTCTTTTGTTGAGAGATAATCTTGTGAATCATTTCTAATTTAATTTCTTAACAGAATAGCAAATAAAGGGAAAATTACGGTGGCACAGAAGTGACGAGTGTGTGTTTTTATTAATATCATGCGCACGAGATACTTTGTCGTGCGTACGATATACGATGTCTTTCGCACGAGTAAGTAATTAGCGCACGAAATACTATGCCGTGCGTACTAGTTACTAAGTCGTGCGCACGAGATAATTAAGTCGTCCGCGTGAGTAACTATGTGGTTGGCACGAGTTACTTTGTCGCGCGCACGAGTTACTAAGTCATTCGCACGAGATAATTAAGTAGTGCGCACGAGTTACTTTGTTGCGCGAACGAGATAATTAAGTCGTGCTCACAACATAATTAACCAATCAGATTACACATTACATATATGAATTTTTTCAACTAAGATAATTCCTGGTTAATGTTTCACACGCAACATTAATCTTTGAAACAACTGAAGGTATTCACTTGAATATTGATACATGTCTTTAGGGTCATATCAGGAGGTCATTTTCTAAGGCCCGTAAATCAGACATTAATTTTGACTAAATTATGGCCCTTTTTATGCCACCACTTAAAAAGTGGGGAGTGTTGGTCAGTACGTGCGAACTGATGACCTGTTATCATTTTCCATACAATAACTTTGGAAGGAATAAGCCCTTGTTTATTTAATTTGGTAGGGACATATTGTCCAGTAGATGACCCCTATTGATGTTTCAGGTCATAAGGTCAAAGGTCAAGGTATTGAAGGTACTCACTTGAATTATAATACAAGTATTTATTATACGACAGAGCAACTCGTGCTCACGATATAGTAACTGAGATAATTAAGTCATGCGCACGGCTAAGTAACGCGTGCGCACGACATAGAATATCGTTCGCTCGACAAAGTAACTAGTGTTCACGACATAGTTACTCGTGCGCACAACTTAATCATCTCGGGCGCACGACTTAATCATCTCGCGCGCACGACATAATATATCGTGCGCACGACATAGTAACTCGTGCTCACTTCATGGAAATTTAAAATGTTATCAGTGATAAAACAAGAAAAGGACCCGTTCAAATACAGACAGTACATTACAACCTTCAAGTAGATAGCATATAATTTACATGTACTTCAATTTTATTATGCATACCTTAGAAATAAAGATAATATTGTTAAAGATGTAATGTGTTCTATAAAGTATATATGTATGTATCAAGTGGAAATGTACCCTAAATACCAAAGTACGTTGTTACAACAGGGATAATGCACAGCGATTTATCATAAGGTACTTTTCATTAATCTATTATATCATTTTTGCACTTTATCTAATTAGAGTGATCCAATCAATGATCAATGATAGGAAAAAAGATATGAGCCGCGTCACGACAAAACCAACATAATGCGTTTGCGACCAGCATGGATCCAGACCAGCCTGCGCATCCGCGCAGTCTGATCAGGATCCATGCTGTTCGCTTACCAACTCTTTTACAAGTAGATAAACTGATAGCGAACAGCATGGATCCTGATCAGACTGCGCTGATGCGCAGGCTGGTCTGGATTCATGCTGGTCGCAAACGCACTATGTTGGTTTTGTCATGACGCGACTCATATATATTTTATCACAACGAGACTGTGTGGCAACCAGGAGTCAGATTAAGGAAGTTTTAAAACACAATGAGAATTACAACAAGGAAAATAATTGGATGATAAAATAATTATCTTTGTATAGACAGGTATACACCGGTCATCCTATACACTGCTTTTAGTTAAGATTGAAACAATTAAAGGCAAGCGGAAGTTTTTTCATCCGACGAACGTTTGTAAGCTGAGAGTTCATTGTTTGTTTGTTCACTGTACATGTGCATTTTCAATTTGCACATTTAGTGTCAGATGCGTAATAATTGTTTTTGAAAACGTAAATGCATGGTGATATTTTTATGATGAATTACGAAATACTTATATTGAGATTTTGCTGTATTTAAGCTTTTAACGTTTCGACAAAGAAATACTGTTTAAAAAAAAACACACAAAACATATGCGTGTACTAATAGTCCTTTTTTTAATCAGAACCTACCTACGTAATAGTCTGGCTCCCTGCCTACATTTACTACTGAACGTACGTAGATTTAGGGGAATATTTCCAGACTACCTACGTAATAGCATGCGAAAATGATACTTAGAGTTATTGAAAGTGGGTATTGTTTTATAATCTTAAAAAAATTAATAAGATTTCCAATTGTAAGTTTCATATTAAGAATTGACCAGCGGAAATTCTACTTTTGTTCAGACCTTCTAGTTGTATTTTACAGGCTGTCAGTGTGAAATCAAACAGCCTATCGTGGAAAAAGAAAACGCGTAGGCGCTTGACTTCTCTTTTATGGATTTGCCTTGTCTGTTACCGATTTGCCGTAAACAAGGCTTTTATTTAAATAAAATTTTAAAATATTTGAGCCGCGTCACGACAAAACTAACATAGTGCGTTTGCGACCGGCATGGATCCAGACCAGCCTGTGCATCCGCGCAGTCTGATCAGGATCCATGCTGTTCGCTATCAGTTTCTCTACTTGTAATAGAGTTGGTAAGCGAACAGCATGGATCCAGGTCAAACTGCGCGGATGCGCAGGCTGGTCTGGATCCATGCTGGTCGCAAACCCACTATGTTGGTTTTGTCGTGACGCGGCTCATTTTTGCTACTTTACTTTCCGGTGTATCTCTCTCAAAATAATGAAAGATTGTTTTGAAATATGATTTTTATGTCAACGCGCATGTTTGTAATTTTGATAGTGACACATTTTCCAAAGTTTATTGTAAGAACAGTGTTTCGTTAAATGCTGAATTACACGTTAGCATAGGTAGTGTGAATGATAATGAATAGATTATTTATTTATAGACAGTACTTTTATTAGACATGAGTTAAAAGTAGATATTTTTCAGAATGCATATATGAAAGCTCTTGAATCTTAAAGTTTTACCGAATGACGAAAGTACTGTGTACGATGGTTGACGCAGAAGTAATTAAATAGACAATCATTATAACTTTTGTAATAATTAGTAAATTCAAAAAAAATAAAAACACATGGCTAACGTGTCATATTTAATGATAGTTTTCCAAAATTATGCGTAAAAGACTAAAAAAAAAATACATTAGATTGTTGTTTTGTTTTGGCTCTTTATTTAATTTGCGCTCCTTAATTTGTTAAAAAAATAATAAATAGAATGTTAATTTCAATTGCCACATTGGATACTTTGTCAAATTATATAGTTCATAGGAATGAATCCATACGGCAAGAAATTCCATTGTCTATTTTCTTTTCCAGTCCTCATCGCTGTCACCGTCACTATCGTTTATGGTTGTTTATTATAAGTTGTTTTGAAATTACTGAAATGAATGACGAGAATAACAATGTCAGATGGGTAAATTACTGAAATTCAGCAATATACAAAAATCAGTATGATTTCAATGATAAATTAAATTATGAAATTCAAGTCTTTCCGAACTTTATTCAATGTAGAAGATTATCATGAATAATTAAAGAACGTAAATTAATTTCATCCGTAAATTGCGCATAAATAGTTAAAATGTTGATACAAATGTACAACATGTGACGTCATAATTTGATATAACGTGAAAAATATATAATGTGAAAATGAATCTTATTCTTTAAAATGCATGAAATAATAAGAAATTTTGTTTCTTTTAATAATCGTATTAAATCTATAAGAAAAAAAGGACTTTTATTCTATACTATACCTCCAGAAGTCAGTATCATCTTTCCGGCCCTGATTTCTGCCATAATTGTCCTTAAAAAGGTACTGGTCGAACAATGACTCACTTTTTTGCACGTCACTATAAACAGAAATAAAATTTATCTTTGAAAAGCAGCAGATCACCAGGCGTTTTATTTTTTATTGATTAGACAATGTCATAATCAGAGACCCAGCCCTGGGTTTCAATAATGATTTCAACGTCAAAATCTCAGCTCAAATCTATGATTTTTCTCAACGTAGAAACTGCGATGAGATTTGGCTCGTTCATAAGAACGAATAGTAAGGTGGGGCCAGAAAACAGCCTTTGAGATCAGGATCCATGCTGTTTCCTTAAAAAACCTATAAAAGTGGAAACTAAAGCGAACCATGGTCCTGATCATGCGGGGGGTGCGCGGTGGTCGGGCCCCTCTGGTCCCCAAACCCATTTGTTGGTTTGTCATGACGCGGCTCATTTGTCTCAGTTTGAGAACGTAAGTGAACGCCGTACAGAAAGAAACAGACTTTGAAAATGTTATCTGTTACCGGTATTTGTATTCTGTATGATCACTTTCTAGTGATTGTATATTTTAAAGTTGAAAATCATTTTACTAAGAAAGATCCTGAAGGAATGAAATTTCATGGGGTTTATTTAAAAAAGTCATCATTGATTTTTACAAAGATCCTGACCTTTTGTTACTAAACTTATGAAAGGATATACAGTAAAATGCTTACTTATCGACATCATATGGTGCACCTAGGAAATCCTGTTGGTAGTCAGAGTCATCTTCGTCTGTTAATTCATTAAGCTCTTCTTCTAAACTATCTGCTTCATTAACGTCTAGATCATCCCAAGAGTTTTGTTCATCAAGGCCAGCATCATCCCATGACTCGTCTACACGATCCTCATCTACCAATGATTCTTCCATATCTTCCTCATCGGCCAAAGTTTCTTCTACACTATCCTCATCGGTCCATGTTTCTTCCATATCTTCCTCATCTGTCCATGTTTCTTCCATGTCTTCCTCATCGGCTAAGGTTTCTTCTACACTTTCCTCATCGGTCCATGTTTCTTTTATATCATCCTCATCGTCCTCGTCTTGTCCATCATCGGCCACATCGTCCCATGTTTCTTGTCCATCATCAGCCTCGTCGTCCAATGGTTCTTGTGCATCGTCGACCTCTTCGTCCAATGTTTCTTGTCCATCACTGGCATCATCGAACTCTTCGTCCAAAGTTGCTTGTTCGTCACCGGCCTCATCGTCCCAAGTGTCTTCGAAAGTTTCTTCTGTATAGTCTGGTACGGTAACTTCGTCGTTGTCAATATCATCACTGATTTCCCGTTTCCCAATCGACGCCCCTGATGCACTTGCAATTATCAGGAGGATTGCAAATGCTACCGAAATCCGAGCTACAAAAGCCATTTCTGTTACCTGTGTAATTCATATAGTAAAATGTGACCTTATTCCATGTTATATAGTATTAGCTTTTTATATTTTTAAAAGAAAAAAAAAACATTATTTAAAGTTTCATTTTACGGATTTTTTACAAATTAAAAGTGATGACATATTTTGATATACGAATAGCATAATACATTTATATTAAGAAGCATATAAGTGTTCACATATACAATGATGTTATTTTTTTAAAAAAAAGGGTTTTTTTTTTTTTTTTTTAAAAAAAAAAAATTTTTTTTAAAGAAAAAAAAAATTTTTTTTTTAAAACCTTTTTTTTTAGGGATAATCTTAATTTTTTATATTAAAATTTTATTTTCATTTTTAAAAAACCGTATTAAAAAAATAAAAGGAAACTGAAAAAATTTTAAAAAAAAAATTCTTCAAAAATTTCGCTTTTTTTTTTCCAACTTTGTTTTTTGCCTTTTAAAATGCACTCCTTAATTCACAAAATTTCACCACGCTTTAGTCTTTACTCCGGACTACGTATGATTTTAAACAAAATGATATATTCTTCCTTTTTAGGAACGAACTATTTTTAAAGCCGTACAATGAATCTTTTTAACAAACAACAAAAACAAAATGTTTTCATATCTGATTTCAGATTCATGAGATGAATACAAATGATTATATCTTAAAAGTGTATCTAAAGTATTTTTCAAACAAAAGCCAAATATTTTCAGGGTATTGCAATTTTTCGAATGGGTTTTTTGTTGGTTTAATTTGGCATGATGAAAAAAATAATAAACATTAATCAAATTAATCATTTTAGAGTATATCCGAACAATTTTTCATAATTCTCCCATTTAGATATTAATGTAAAAGAGAGACGTTAAATACAGTACTTTCTTTTAAGGCTTGAAACTCATTCATTCGTCGTCTATGTTATGATGAGCAAATTCGTGGCCCAGACCAATGGTGTAATTAGTAGAGCAGTAAAATGATTTCAGTTTTTAATGACTTTTAATTTATCAATTGATATTAAGGCAAAATCAATAAAAAATAATCTACAAAAAAAGAGAAAATATAAGCATACACATTAACCTTTTTACACTAAATATTTTAAATGGACTTGTCCATCTTTCAACCTTGAGAAGACCATTAATCAATTCTTAGAGAAAATTTTAAAATATTTGAGCCGCGTCACGACAAAAACAACATAGTGGTTTGCGACCAGCATGTATCCAGACCAGCCTGCGCATCCGCGCAGTCTGATCAGGATCCATGCTGTTCGCTTACAAACCCTATTACAAGTATAGAAACTGATAGCGAACAGCATGGACCCTGATCAGACTGCGCGGAGGCGCAGGCTGGTCTGGATCCATGCTGGTCGCAAACCCACTATGTTGGTTTTGTCGTGACGCGGATCATTTACAGACTGAGTAGCGAACAATGCAGACTCTGATCTTGGTCTGCACTGGTAGCATGGTTTGATATTTTACGCCATTAGGCTATCAGTTCAATTACAGATATTATACACATGTGTATAGTAAAAGATTTGTTAAGAGAAATATAATATACCTATGGTAATGCAATAATATTGTATAATGTTTCTTTTAAGATATTTTGGTTGATACACTATTTATCTTAGTTCAATTGTGTAGAAAGCTATAAACTTGTAGAAACAATTTCGAATCCGTTCCTGGAACCAAACAATACTGAGAAATAAGTATAAAGTTTCTTGCTCAAGAAAAAAAAAAAACGATTTGTCCCTGATGGGGTTTGAACCCATGCGGCTAGCGATCATTAGATTACTAGTACGACGCATTAACCACTCGCACATGCGGTCAAAAAAGATAAAACTTATTTTGTTAGTCTGTTATCATATGTACGTTTTACCAATATTTAATTTTGAAAAAGGCCTTAAAAATAAACAAACGGTGGTAATGGGAACGGACGAGGAAAATATTAGTGACTCGAAACACACGTACATTGGTTGTGGTAATTTTTTTACATCCTTAATTGCAGCATACTTTGTTAAAAAAAGTTGTTTACATGATATCTTCACATGTGTGTTATTTGAACACGTAAACACTAAAATCTGAATGCATTTTAAAAAAAAAGACAAAGCAAAAATATTTTTGCGCAGCTTTAATGTCTCAGTGAATACTGCTGACAGTAAACATGATTTTTATAAGGAAGCGCAGTAAATATTTGGATAATACATGTTGTTTACCAGTACCCGAGTTTTTTTTAACCCATGGGGAAAAAACAACAAAAATACACATAATAAAAAACATACAGTTTTATTAAACAGCCACCAAAATATAAAACATATGGTGGCTGATTTGTGCCATTCGTGTTTTGCCCCGCGAACTCGCCGAGCGAAAAGTCGAGAATTAACAAGTTAAAATTGCGGGCGGACGTAGCGAAAACACGCTAATTAGTGGGGCGAAGTTAAATAAATAAAACGTCAACCCCATGGGGGCGCGAAGCGAGATTTGAGAAATAAAACGGCGGGGTCGCGGGGCGAAATTACGTTAATTAGCGGTGCGCGGGGAGAAGTTAAATAAATAAAACTTTACCCCGCGCCCCGACAGTCAGCGTGTTTTCGCTCCGCACCCCACCATTTTAACTTGTTAAAGCTTGGCGGGGTCGCGGGTCGAAACCCGGCTTGTGGCGCCGTTATATGTCGAAACGCCGCTAAATGTCGCACCTACCTCTAAATGTCGCACCATTTCCGCTAAATGTCGCAACCGCCGCTAAATGTCGCAACATTGCCGCTAAATGTCGCAACCGCCGCTAAATGTCGCAAAATTGTCTGCCGTTAAATGTCGCAAAATTTTAATTCATGTAAAAAAAAGTAGCTGGTGGAATTATGTTAATATTATCATTATGTCTGTAATCTGGGTACAAACTATCTATCATGTAGGAAATGATTTGCTGTAGTATTTAGATTAAAAGGTTGGAATGAAGTAATCTTAGTCGGTATTATAAATTGACGACCACAATTTATGCCAAAAAGCCCCTTGGTGATTTAACACATTTGTTTACGTTTTTGTCTCCCGCCTTTTCGAAGAAACAGAGGGATATGTAAAAAGGCTCCATCCGTCTGTCCGGTCCGTAACTCATCATCAAGGGATTTTGAAATAACATATGTTCACCAAATTAGGACAACCTGTCATGCGAAACAACCAGACTTCCACGGGGACCCGCATGGAGATCAAAGGTCAACATTGTCTAATGGAGGGTACAATTGGTGTCCGGTTTATACCTTTTTTGTCTATCAAGGCATTTGAAATAACTTGGCACAAATGCTCACTATTTAAGACAACGTGTTTGCGAGACAATGGTCAGAGTATTTCGTGTCCAATCCATAACGTTTTCATCCATAAAAGGATTTTGAAATAATATGACACACATGTTTATCATAATATGACCACATGTCATACACAACACTCAAAATTCTACCCCAAAGATCAAGGTCACACTTAGAGGTCAAAGTTTAATAAAGTGTTCTGTTATAATGCCTTTTTGTGTCAGATCCGCTAACTTTTTCACTTATCAAAGTATTTTGAAAAACGTTTGCACAAATATTCACCATATTAAGACAATGAGTCTTGCGCGACACTCTGACCTCTACCAAGGTCAAGGTCAACACTAAGAGTTCAAAGCTATACATGGTCTTATTTTCCTTGTCCAGAGAAAATCTGGAAAAAAGCATTAGAGATTGCAGTGAAACTTTAAATATAGATAGATAACAGCGAGAGGGATTGCAGCGTTACTCCATCTTGAATATTTTTTAATTGTTTCTCTGTATGTAAATGCACGAGGGACGGTCAGAAAATATCCGGACTTTTCATGCTCCTCTCTTTCCACGTGCAGCTATATACACATTATATATTCAATTGGTGAAAACTACATTCATTCGCCAATAACGTGGTCTGATAGTTGTGTATACACAGTATTTTGCACTCTGATATATGATAGGTGTTACGTCTATCATGGACTCTTTGTTAGAGGAACAACGCTCTGTAATAAAGTTTCTGGTTCGAAAGGTGAAAAGCCCTGCCACATCTTTCAGAGGCTTAAAAAAGATTTTCTTATAAATGTGTATCACGTTCAACCTTTTACAGCTGGGTTTCTCAGTTCGTGAAGGCAGAACAAGTGTTTGTGACAGGCCTAGGACTGGGCGGCCAGCTGGGGCGTTGACCCCAACAATGGTAGCAAATGTTAAAGCTTTTGTCAACAAAAATTGTCGAGTAACTTTGGAGGAGATAGCCAACAAGTTTAGCATTGGTAAGGCATCGGCACACAAGATTTTACACAAACACCTAGGCATGAGCAAGGTAAGTGCCAGGTGGGTGCCTATACAGCTGTCCGCAGATCAAAAGGCGACCAGAGTAACCAATCCAAAAGAACATTTAAGTCGTTTTAATCGTGAAGGAGATAAGTTTTTGAACCGCATTATCACTGGAGATGAGATGTGGGTTCATTATTCCGAACCTGAGACAGAGGCTCAGTCAAAGCAGTGGAAACGAGCTGGTTCTCCACCTCCTAAAAAGTTTAAGCTGTCTCCTTCGGCTGGCAAAGTCATGCTTGTTGCCTTTTGGGATTCACGAGGAATGATACTTACTCATTTCATGCCAAAAGGTCAAACTGTCACCGCCATGTACTATTCTGAAGTAATTCTGAAAAATCTCAGAGAAAAAGCTGAAGCAAATGCGTCCCAGGTTAGCACAGACAAATGTCCTCCTTCTTCACGATAACGCCCCCGCCCATACCGCCGCAGCTACAGTGGAGGTTATCACCTCTTACAAATGGCAATTGTTGTCTCACCCTCCTTATAGCCCAGACCTCGCACCCTGTGACTTTTATTTGTTTCCAGAATTGATAAAATT